TTATTATTATTATTGTTGTTGTTGTTGTTGTTGTTGTTAAAAAATAGTTTAGAAGTCTTTTATTTTTTTTTTTAGAGAGGTGTATTTCTGCTCTGACTTTTTCAGTTTGACCTTAGGAGTCAGATAAATGACAAAATAAAAGAAGTCGATTTTCTTTGGCTTAGCCAGCCTGAGAAAGATAGAAAAAGGTTTCTTTTTTTTTTTTTAGGGGAGTCGAGTCTAAATCATCATACAATCTAGATGTGTTTCCTTCGTGTCTGGGAAGCGTCTTCACAGTGGAATGACCTCACTGACTAGTTAGAGATGTATCCGTCGACGTAAATAAAATAGCTAAGTAAAATTCCGTTTGTTGACGTCTTTCTTCTCTCCGAATCAAAACGACTAGCGATCACCGACCAAGAGAAGTCGAGGGAGAGGATAAGATATATGAGCGAATCAACTCCGTCGCCAAGACCTTCCGCAGAACGAGGAGGCTATACAACATTATTATTATTATTATTATTATTATTATTATTATTCCTCTGAGTTCAAAAATTTGAATGCAACGTCAAACGTCATTTTATGTTTTCCTTACTGGGACCAGGAAAGAAATGTTTTTTTTTGTTCTTTCTCATCAACAGAGATTCCTCATTCTCTTTCACTGCCAGTAACATCTTGTGTCGTTATCACTTTGCATGGGGCGAAATGATAAAAAAGAACTGAAACCTATGTCTACTTCATTATAACCATGAATGTATACACAGATGCAAAGTAACCAACATCATTTTTTTTTAATAGAGAATATCTGATATCCTGTAATGTCGCACAACGTTTTATAGTAAATTCAAACACCTAAATTATTAATAAATTCACTAAATATCGAATTAAAAAAAATAACATAGCCTTAGAAAGAATAAATAATAATAAAAATAAAATTATAATATAGAAATCCTCATTATCTAATTTATAGCTAGCACAAATTCGAAAAAGAAAATATACAATAAAACTTATATATATGCCCACAACCGATGAACATTCAGACACATATATTGGTTACACAAACATCATATTAGCGCGCCGATTAACTTGTCATTTAAACGATAATATTTTAATTAAACAAAAACGAAAAAAATCCACGAATCCTATGTTGTCTAGCTTATCTGCCAGAGAAATGCGAGAAAAGAAACTGTTAGCATATAACTTACGGTTACATCTGGCTATTTTAACAGTAAAACGATTAGCCCTATTAGCCAATCTAGTAGTAGGCTTGGATTCACGCGTTTGAGGTACCAAGGAGAGACCTCATTAGAACAACTGCCGTGAAAATATTTGTTGGAAAGAACGACGAATGCCACGTCACAGTGGTGGGAAAGTGAGTACGGTTGAGATGCCAGATTAGAACCGGTAACACTACAGACGATTGTTTGAATTTTGATGAGAATCTTGATATATATATATATATATATATATATATATATATATATATATATATATATATATATATCACGAGAAGAAGACCAAAGGGAATAATGGTAGATTTTTAGATGTGCAAGATGGATTCTGACGAGAGAAGTTGTCTTTCTAGCAGCAGACATAGCAATACAATTACTCCATTTAATTTCAGTAGAAAACGTGAGAGCAATAAAGTAAAACGACTTTCCTTTCTAGCGATTAGCATGAGCCATACTGATAGAGGAAAAAATGCTTCTCTATGATGATTAAAAGAGAACACTTTCGTTTTGAGGCGTCAAAATATACAGACATTACTTGACTGAGTTAATAATTGCCGGAGACATTTTAAGATTTTTTTTTTTTTTTGTTATGGATATGATTTTAAAGTTCTCTTTATTCGTATTAATTAGTAATAAGAAAAACGGAATTCCTCTATGTTTAGGTCATATCTAAAAATTAAGAAACAATTGATTTGCGAAGATTGTTCCACAGATTTTTTTTACTTCGTCTTTTTTGTTAATTATTACAAATATATCATCAACATAGATGGTGTAAATAGTTGGGTTATAGTTTTTTTTTCATTTCGTTTTCTAGGGTTCAACTGTAAAATTCCATAGGGTTGCTGAAATAATTGTTATATTCTTATTTATTTGAGAATCGGTGGTTTTATTTTGGGAGGTGGAAATGGAGGATGTTTATAGAAATTTTAATATGATATATAATGTTTCATAAGAATGTACATGGGTGAAGAGATTTTAAGTGTCCAATGATGCTAATATATCATTGTTTGCTTTCTGCATAAATTGCCAGATGGTTCGCGAAAAGCTGTGGCGCACGCATCAAGATCTCTAGTTCCATCTCGACATGCCCCAAGTCTCTCCTGAAGTGCGACGCTCAGGAAGGAAAAGGAAATTTACTCAACTGCTCGACGTATATCCCAAGAGGAAAAAGTATTAACAGTTTTATTTTTTTCTCTCCTTTTCAAAAAGAAAACTCTTTGGAAGGGGTGTATTGTGAGATCGGAAACTACCTACACAATAGACTCTTCCAGGCCTATATTTAGTAGGCGACATAGCACTCTAGAGAGTGACAGAGAGTGACACAGAGAGACAGTGAAAGTCGCGTACGACTACCAGTATTGGACACTAACATATAGTAAGCTCCGCTTACACTATCTCTGTAACCTGTTGCTAATATATCTTTCTTACATCTAATCCGTGTTCCGTGTTTTCCTTCTGTGGTCCCAACTTTGGCCCCACATCAAAAAGATAGATAGATAGATAGATAGATAGATAGATAGATAGATAGATAGATAGATAGATAGATGTGAATAGAGCTAGAAATAGATAGATAGATAGATAGATAGATGGAATAGATAGGAATATAGATAGATAGATAGATAGATAGATAGATAGATAGATAGATGTGAATAGAGCTAGAAATAGATAGATAGATAGATAGATAGATAGATAGATAGATAGATAGATGTGAATATATTGAGAAAGAGATAGATAGATGCAAAAAGATTTAGAAATAGATAGATAGATGTGAATAGAGCGATAGATAGACAGATAGATGTGAACCGAATTAGAAATAAATAGATAGATAGAGAGATGGATGGATCTATCCATACATTTAAACTGTGATAAACAGATACGCTATTTATGTGGAGAAATACGGTGACAAATTGAAAGAAGTGTTTTGTTTTTGTTTTTTTATATTGTTTTTTTTTGTTTTTTTAAGAGAAGATCACGAAATTTAGAAAAATGCTGAGAAATTGGCAACAGACGTAGCCAATTCTATCCAAGAGAAAACGGAGAAAATGTCGAATAGGGAAAAGGCTATCCTGTAAGCTCATCTCGTCCGAGAGCCCGTGCGCGCATGCGTAAATAACACCGTACAAAAAGTCTATCCATATGTATTCAGATGTTTCGCTCATATATATGACATGTATATATAGAAGGCACTATGAACACTAAACCAATTCTAAAACTTTTGAAAGATGCTTCCTTGACCAAATTATTTCCTGGCTCTCAATGACATTTCTCGGATGGAAATTGAAAATAAATAAATACAAAAGTATCCCCTAACTAAAAACAAGCCAAAAAATTGGAAATTACCTTAACTTGTTAACGAAATTAAATGATTCGTGTTCCATGTCCTACCTAAATAATGATGCATTGGTGTTTCTTCGCGGTCCTCCAAATAAGATTCGACGACTCGTCATATTTCCAAATTTGGCAGGTACTGAACGAACCCGTAGCAGATACAGATTATTTCTAATTAAGTTTACACCATCAAATACTTTTCAGCGGGTAAAATATATTATGGCTTCTCTGATTAAGCGAAGTTGTACAAGAAACCAAAGACCGGAGCTTTATATGTGGTAGGTTGAGAAAATGAGAACGGAAAGTTAAACACAAGATGCATTTTTTTCGTCTCCTTAAATGGAAAGAGGAAAATATATTTTAAAAAAATGTAACAATAAGCGTAAAGTTGATGTCATATTATTAAAATCTCAACCTATGATATTATTGATTACAAGTCTGACTATCGAGAGTGAGTGAGTGAAAGAGAGAAACAGTGAGAGATAAAGAGAGAGAGGTAGAAAGAGAGAGCAAATATAGAAACGGAAAAAAGATATAGACAGTAGAAAATAATCAAAATATTTGTAGAGTTAATCGCAACAGTAGCGCTATAAGTAATTCTTCTTACGTGTTACAATATCAGACCATGGTGTAAACATTAATAATGATAGATAGATAGATAGATAGATAGATAGATAGATAGATAGGGGCATTAAATTTGGATATCTCATTCGAATAAATAAATTGTGATAGATAGATAGATAGATAGATAGATAGATAGATAGATAGATAGATTAAAAATTACATTTTTAAATTGTCAGGTCAGATAGAGATTTACGAACTTTTTAGATAAAATGAGGCATAGATAGATAGATAGATAGATAGATAGGGCTATTCAAAATTGGACATATCAATCGAATAAATCAATAGATAGATAGATAGATAGATAGATAGATAGATAGATAGATAGATAGATATATTCAAAATTGGATATCTCATTCAAATAAATAAATTGTGATAGATAGATAGATAGATAGATAGATAGATAGATAGATAGATAGATAGATAGATTAATTAAAAATTACATTTTTTAAATCGGCAGGTCAGATAGCAATTTACAAACTTTTTAGATAAAATGAAGCATAGATAGATAGATAGATAGATAGATAGATAGATAGATAGATAGGGGTATTCAAAATTGGACATATCAATCGAATAGATAGATAGATAGATAGATAGATAGATAGATAGATAGATAGATAGATAGATAGGGGTATTCAAAATTGGACATATCAATCGAATAGATAGATAGATAGATAGATAGATAGATAGATAGATAGATAGATAGATAGATAGATAGATAGGGGTATTCAAAATTGGGCATATCAATCGAATAGATAGATAGATAGATAGATAGATACATAGATAGATAGATAGATAGATAGATAGATAGATAGATAGGGGTATTCAAAATTGGGCATATCAATCGAATAGATAGATAGATAGATAGATAGATAGATAGATAGATAGATAGATAGATAGATAGATAGATAGGGTATTCAAAATTGGGCATATCAATCGAATAGATAGATAGATAGATAGATAGATAGATAGATAGATAGATAGATAGATAGATAGATGAATGATGATAGGGTATTCAAAATTGGGCATATCAATCGAATAGATAGATAGATAGATAGATAGATAGATAGATGAATAGATAGATAGATAGATAGATAGATGAGGGGTATTCAAAATTGGACATATCAATCGAATAGATAGATGAATAGATAGATGAATAGATAGATAGATAGATAGATAGATGAATGGGGTATTCAAATTGGGCATATCAATCGAATGAATGGATATGAATAGATAGATAGATAGATAGATGATATGATAGATAGATAGATGGATGGATAGATGGGGGTATTCAAAATTGGGCATATCAATCAGATAGATAGATAGATAGATAGATAGATAGATAGATAGATAGATAGATAGATAGATAGATAGATAGATAGGGGTATTCAAAATTGGACATATCAATCGAATAGATAGATAGATAGATAGATAGATAGATTTAAAATATATATTGTACTGCCTACACTACACTACATTTTCGTTCATTCTGTTTATTTGACTACTTTCAAGAAGCTCGCTACTTCCGAATGGCTATAGCTAGTGGCTAATACCAGATTGGAATCTACAATGCCAAGACTCTTGTTACGCCGGAAAGAGAATGAAAAGTGTTCAAATTTTGCACATTGAGCTCAAACTTGTTTTTGTCTCTTTACAGCCTACTAAAATGGCGCTCTCAAATACCTGGCGTGGCTTGCATATAACTCCGTCAATTCAGAATATATGCAGCGTTTTTTAATATCTCTAGGATCGGTTGCACAGCCTTGATATCCGTTTGACAGACAGTCTGAAGGGACTTTCAGATTGTAGACAAGATTAAGGAGAATGCAACGACGCCGTTGATGCCGATCCACATGGGGTGATTTTCGAAGTTGTTTCCCAAAAGCTAATAGAGGCGCGACAACCATTGTTTTAGATACCTAAGGGAAGAGTAGTTAAATCTGCTATATTTTTGTTCAATCTCCTACGTTGGCTACTTTTTGGTAAAAATAACTGGATATTTTCTGAATAAAAACTTTCTTAAACTGTATCAAATTTAACCTGGATTTTATTCGATGTTTATCTATATTTGCTTAACAATAAGAGTGTAACTGACTGAAATATCTAAGGACGATAGCTTAGTGCAGGGATCAGAAACCTTTCGGGGAGATCGTGCCAGAAAGCTATGCAGAGGAGGACCATGATTTCAAATGTTTTATAACAAATCCCTCTGTCAAGAAGGCTGTCTTGGTCTGGGGGTTTAAGGAAAAACACCGAAGTTAATGTTATACTTTTTTTCAGCATTTCATGCTAGTGGCGGGAGTGGCACTAGCACACAAGGGGTTATAGAAAGTTGGAGCAAGAGTAAAGAGGCTTGATAGAGGAAAAGATGAAGAGAAGGAGGGGGATTAGATCTAGACATCTGGATATGTCGATTGACATTGCATTTGAATATTTGAAGATTATAGCTATCAGGGAAGCAAGTAAGAGGAGGGATTTCCACAGACGGGAAATGCGAGACATGAAGCCATTGGAGTAGAAGAGACGGCTACATTTAACTGTTTCGACAATGAAAGGGTGGGACTGAGATGCCAACCTAGTGGCACGTTTAAATTCATGCCGTTTGGGAACCAGCGAAAGTATTAGGTTGGTGCAAAAATAATGACGTAATAATGTCGTTTTTCGACGTTAAAAATACATCAAAGAACGACATTGTTACGTCATTATTTTGCACCAACCTAATAGCTCGTCGGAGCAGTTACTGTGAAAGGATTTGTAGAAAAGACAGAAGGAATCGACGGCACGTTTGTGAGAGAGCGACTGTAAACGTTCCTGTTTTTACTGCAGAAATAACTGGGAAGCAACTAACATGCTCAACAAAAAAAATGAAAATTCCTTACTACAAACGAAATATAGCTAGAAATGTCAGGTTATTTAATAAGACATATGTTTCTGCTTATTGTTCGATAACTTCTCCACATCAGGTGAAATATTAGGTTGGTGCAAAAATAATGACGTAATAATGTCGTTTTGACGTAATTTTAACGTCAAAAACGACATTATTCGTCGTTATTTTTGCACCAACCTAATATTTGTCGATAACAGGAGCAAGAGATCATTCTAGCGGTTATCACCTAAACTTGTTCTTAGACTTTTAGTATATTTCATTTTTGAAAGAAGTTGTTCACAAGCACATGCACTTCCAAATAGTGATACTATCATTTTCGCATTATTCAATAGGCTTTTATAATTTTCCGATTGGCAAAACATATTTCTTATAGAAGTTAGCAGTGCATTCGAAATTCAATTTTGGTTTCAAAAATTCGTTTCATTCTAGGTCAATATACTCCTATTATACCATTACACTATTATATTAGATAATTAGTATCCAACTATTAATCTGACTAGCCGGATAAAAATCATTCGCGTGCCGAATGGGCCCCGGAGACTGGGGTTTGCCAACCACTTGCTCCTTTAACCTATGGGTTAAATTCTTTGTTCATGAGTTTGGTGATATAATAACTGTAAGTTTAATCTTGGGAAGTGTGTACATGAAATTCGGTAGGCGAACAATAATTAATCTGAGCGTACAATAATTGAGAAATACTAAATAAGATTGTGCATTTTGAACTTAAGAAAAGATGACGCGTTTTGAGGAAACTCCAAGAAATTAACGGATTTTAAGTTTAAATGTAAATATAGCGATATAATAATTTAATTTAATTTTGCACATTAATTTCATATTTCATCATAATTTTATATATAATTTCATACATAACATAATTCATAAAAATAACATAATTTCATATAAAATTTCATAAAATCATAACATAATTTCATAATTTTTCATAAAATCATAACATAATTTCATACATAACATAATTTCATAAATCATAAAAATTTCATCATAATTTCATAACATAATTTCATACATAATTTATATACATCATTTCATCTATATATACATAATTTTCATACATAATTTCATACATAACATAATTTCATAAAATCATAACATAATTTTATACATAACATAATTTCATACATAACATAATTTCATAAAATCATAACATAATTTCATACATATATAATTTATATAACATAATTTCATCTATTTTCATATACATAATTTCATACATAACATATACATAACATCATTTCATAAAATCATAACATAATTTCATACATAACATAATTTCATAAAATCATAACATAATTTCATACATAACATAATTTCATACATAACATAATTTCATACATAAAATATCATTTCATCTATTATATACATAATTTCATACATAATAACATAATTTCATAAAATCATAACATTTCATACATAAAATCATAACATAATTTCATACATAACATAATTTCATACATAACATAATTTCATACATAATTTATATACATCATATCCTATATACATAATTTCATTTCATACATAACATAATTTCATAAAATTTCATAAATTTCATAAAATCATAATTTCATACATTTTAATTTCATAAAAATCATAATTTCATACAATTTTCAAAAAATCATATATATTTCATAACATAATTTCATACATTAATTTCATATACAACATAATTTCATAAAATATAATTTCATACATAACATAATTTCAAAATCTTATAAACATAATTTCATACATAATTTCATACATAACATAATTTCATAAAATTATATTTCATTTCATCTATTATATACATAATTTCATACATAATTTCATACATAACATAATTTCATACATAACATAATTTCATAAAATCATAACATAATTTCATACATAACATAATTTCATACATAACATAATTTCATACATAATTTATATACATCATTTCATCTATTATATACATAATTTCATACATAATTTCATACATAACATAATTTCATAAAATCATAACATAATTTCATACATAACATAATTTCATAAAATCATAACATAATTTCATACATAACATAATTTCATAAAATCATAACATAATTTCATACATAACATAATTTCATAAAATCATAACATAATTTCATCTATTAATTTCATACATATACATAATTAATTTCATACATACATTTTCAAAAAATCATTATTTCATATATATAATTTCATAAAAATTAACATAATTTCATACATTTTTAAAATCATTTTTCCCATAACATAATTTCATAAAATCATAACATAATTTCATACATAACATAATTTCCTAAAAATATAAATTTTCATTTTTTTTTAATTTCATTAAAATTATAACATAATTTCATACATAATTTCATACACTAACATAATTTCATAAAATCATAACATAATTTCATGTTTTTCATTTTTACATAACATTTTCCTTTTAAATTTCATACATACATAATTTCATAAAAATCATAATTTTCATACATTTTTTCCTTTCATAACATAATTTCATTTTTTCATCATTGATTTATATACATCATTTCATTTATATACATAATTTCATACATAATTTCATAACATAATTTCAAAAATCATAACATAATTTCATACATAACCATACATAACATAATTTCCTTAAATCATTAATTTCATACATTGTAATTTCATAAAATCATAACATACATCATTTTCATACATAACATAATTTCATACATAACATTTTCATACATAATTTTATACATCATTTCATCTATAATATAATTTCATATAAATTTCATTAACATAATTTTAAAATCATAACATAATTTTTTACATAAAATAATTTTATACATAACATAATTTCATACATAATTTATATACATAATTTCATCTATTATATACATAATTATTATTCTTTGAATTTATGTATATATTGTTTATTATTAATTTTTTTAAAACTTTCCCCATAGTTACAGGGTTTTTTGTGCATTTATTTAAAATAAGATTTTATTTTTACTTTCTGTTTTGGCTTACCTAAAGTTAGAATTATCAGGTTTGCATTTTTCCTTTCTTGTTCATTTTTATCATTGATAGTTTAGGAGTTAATACTGTCAAAAAGCCAACATAAATGACTTCATTGTATTTTAAGGACATCATTTCTAAGTATTTCAGGCTTAAATAAAAAATTTTTTTGTTTTGTTTTTTGCTATTTTTTTTCGATAGTTTATTTATAAAATATTTCGTAATTTGTCTTGCTTTCTAGTGTCTTTGTTTACCTAACAATTTAGGTACAACTTTATTTTATATATATATATATATATATATATATATATATATATATATATGTGTGTGTGTGTGTGTGTGTGTGTGTGTGTGTGTGTGTGTGTGTGTGTGTGTGCGTGGTTATATAGATTGTCGTAGTGGAGAGGCTTGTACGTCTCGTGGAACCTGAATTCAATGCCGTCGTAATCTTTGTCGCCTAGTAGGGTCACCCATGTCAGTAAGGGTTCAGAGAAGGGACCAGGCGAATCACGTTCCGACACCCGGCGGGTCAAGGCGACGTTCTACGTACGAGAACAAATCGGCAGCACAATGCAAGGTGTCATCATGAACCTGCCTGTCAAGCCCTGGTTTGCCGCATCGGATGATGTCAGCTGAAGTGTGTGTGTCAAAGAGTGGCGACTCCTGGAGCACCTGAAACAATTCACAGACAAGGCTTTCATGCTCAAAGACTTTTCTTCTTCTCACGTCTAAAGAACCAGTTGGAGGAGGGCAGCCCACGAAATGACAACATCCTTCGAAAACACCAGAAGACAAATAGAAGAGAGAAAGAGAGCCCAAAGAGAAGCCCGAGCTCTCCATTCTCAGAACCCTCCTACTCTAGTATGCGATGGCTGCGGACGTCTCTTTAGATCCAACATAGTTATCATTACACAAAGAGGGAAATCTCTATGCGCACCCCCAATACTCTGCAAGGTGTTCCGCTGCCGACGACGACTAAATAAGAACTGGACGAGTTATGTTTAGACAAGGTCAGGGATATGAGAACAATCCAGCTCCGTATATTTAATAAAGGGTTCAGTTCTAAATTCCATGCATGTTAACCCGATTGATAAGCACCTGATGAAGGCCGCAGGGTACAACGTATGACATGGTAACAACAAAGATAAGGACAATATTTAAAATGTAAATACAGATAATTCCTCATCCTGGAAGTTGAAACAGTGATTAAAAGAAAATTAGGATTTTTGTTTGTTTTTTTTTTTCCAACAAGGAAAAGGAATCGTAGGTGAAACACATTAATTGGTGATCTAATTCAAACATTTTTTTTCTAATTAATCTAGTTGTTTCGTCGTACTTTTTCAACTCTTTCAACCGCTAGGACAATTTTTAAGGTTCGTTTTAATTTCTTCTGTATAATTATACTTTATCCTTTAGGATATAAAATCAGTGGATTTAAAATATGCCAGCATGTGTATGAGATTGAATCATTAATATTCCTCTTGTCTTTTAGATCTCTCTTCGAAGAAAATGCATAATTGCTACAAGAAACCATTGTTTAAGGGTTTCTTTAAAAAAAAACCCAAAAAAAACAAAGAAATCCATTTTAAAGCTGTATCTCTACCGAATCTTCGTTACCAAGACATATATCGTAGTAGTAGCCGCTGGCACGTTTGAAGGGAGAGATGTTTTCCAGCCTGCTTACTATCAGCAGCACTCAGATCGTTGATAAATGATCCTCACTTTACTCTTTCGTATAAATTTTTTTTTTTTTAATTTCCCGTACGTCTACGTTGGTAGGCCCAACATTCGTCGCAGAGGGACGTCACAAAAGGAAATCCGGCGTCCTTAAAGCGAAAATAGATTTCTCTGGATGTTTTTCATTCCTCCCTTCTGCATAGAGCAAATGTAATTTTTTTTTTCTTGAGTTCGTTAGTGAAAATGCAACTGCAAATCTTGAGATTAAAAAGTAACTTAAGGAAATTAACTTTTTTTTTAATTTCTAATTACTATTTTCCTTAAGGAAAGAGTAAATTGTATTTTTCAAAACATACGGAGATAAATTTGATCCTATCGAGGAAGAATTGTTCACCAAAAACGGTTTCGTTTTTGTCAATATATAAGCAAAGCTAATATCGCATACAAAGATTAATCATCTATGATACTGGCGTTATTAATCTATACTAGTTTCAGTTTGCACGTATTGTGTTAGTTCTTTAGACTTTTAGATATCATAGGGTGTTTAGTAAAAAAAGCGGCTTTTGATCATCTCTCTTTTATCTTTCAGGAATAATTGTCCTTGAATAAGCCTGAATAAATATCTTGAATATTCATGACCTTGAATAATCATTCGACTCTCGCATAATCACTTAACTCTGATTGGTTCTTTTATGATTGATCAATTGCTGCTCGTGCTTGTGATTCGTCGTTTAAAGGTTATTTGCAGACAACATTCGTCTTTCGTTCTGCCTTTCTCGTATGGCTAAACAACTTACTGATTTTGAGCGTCAAGTTATCGTACTTTTCAAAGAAGAACATCTGACGAAATGTGGAGAAATTCTTCCCGAATTTTTTACCGCTTTTTTTTACTGGGCACCCTTTGTAACAGGATAAATAAGGAAATAAGATATATATATATATATATATATATATATATATATATATATATATATATATATATATATATATATATATGAAACATAAAATACCCGTAATGTGGATTGTTTGGTTTGGTTTGGTTCGTTTTACGGCATATCAACCTTAATGTCGACAAATTTTTTTCTGGTAATATTTTTTTTTTAAAATGTATAGCTGGTAATATCTTTTTTTTTTTTTACAAATATCAACATATTGTGTGTAAATAATTGACTGAGGGAATTTATTTTAATTGTAGTTGAAATAATTGAACATATTAATACTTTTTGAGAATCGTTGGTTTTATTTTGCACGTGGATGTGATAAAAGTTTATAAACTTTTATTTATGGTATATATTGCTTCACAAAAATGTACATTTGTGAATAGAGGGTTTGTTTATGAAAAGCATGACATAGATAGATAGATAGATAGATAGATAGATAGATAGATAGATACTGAACAGGTTGAGATAGATAGATAGATAGATAGATAGATAGATAGATAGATAGATAGATAGATCTATCCATCCATTTTGACTACGATTAACAGTTACGCTACTTACATGTTGTAATGCGTAGACACATTGAAAGAAGAATTCTTTTAAATAGAGAGGAACAAGCAAATGAGAAAAATGATGAGAAATCGGCAACAGACATATCCAATTCTATCCAAGAGAATACGGACAAGTCGAATTGGTAAAAAAGCTATCCTACAAGCTCATCTTCGCTGACATGTTTGCATATGAGCACACAAGCGCATTTGCAACTAACAGCACACAGAAAATCAGCCTGTCGCACCTTTGGAAAGTGCTTGAAAACCATACCACAAATTGACAAATCTTGTGAGTGAAATTGGATAGACGAAACATTAGGCTGCCATCGATAGCTGTGCTAGCAGGAAGTCACAAGTCATCGTGGACGAGGGCTTGAGCGTACTGGCCTTGTTCAAATTGTTGATCAAGGTAGATAACATGCTCTCTCTCAGAAACTGTACCTAAGGTCCGCCTAACATAGTTGCAGTATAAACCACAGGTGGGATGTGTGGGTGTTGAAAAAACACAAATGTGCCTGAGCACATGCGTCTGCAGTAGGGGTTGGCTAGAAAGTAGACGGGTATCCTCGAATAAGAGTGGGCAGTTATATATATATATATATATATATATATATATATATATGAAACAATATCAAAAATTGATATTTACTGTGTAACTTTATTATATATATATATATATATATATATATATATATATATATATATATATATATTGTCTATTTATTTTTATACTGCTCCTTTCCAGTTCTCTAATCAATTTCATGATATTAAGATGAAATTCTTTAAAGAAAGCGCTGTATTTTTTTCTAAACCAAGTCGTTTCGATATTTTCCAAGATCGTCTTCAGAGGTCAATTACAAAGACAAACTTATTGTAACTATCACCTTTCCGTTGTGATGGTGATTTTTAAAAACACGCGCCAACGCACACTATAACAACATATAATGGCATTAAATGTTTGTTATATCAAAGCCTTGCTATTAAACTCGTAATAAATTTTATTGAGTGTTGGTTGATTCATGTTGATTGGAGGGCTTCGAGAATCTGATCTTTTTGTTAATGATTTTTGTGGTGCATTATATTGGTATTGTCAACATTTATTTTCCTGTAGTGTGAAAGTGGAAAGGTATGTGTTTTTAAATGTTGTGCATTAGAACTTTTTAAAGTTTTCTAATTACACGCGCAATGGTAGAAAAATGTATCCCTTGAACTAAATAAAGGGTTCATTTCGCAATTTAAAAAAAATATCACCTGAAGAAGACTGAGCGTCCAAGGGCTGAAACTTGGTGAATATGGCCACAAAAATGAGGATAAAAATCCGAATAAAATAAATAGTGTAAGCAGAACCTCATCTCAGAAATATCGACAAAATATTAACCAATTTCTTTTCGTTTCTCTCTGCCTAAACTCACGTTACAAGACGATGCATGGCTCCTTAGTGTAGTTCTTGGTCTTGGTTTTAGTCTTGGGGCGACGGTTCCACTTCCATAATAACCTTGTTTAGTTCAGTGATAAACGAGAACTTCAACAAAGTGTACTTAACACTTAACTATTTTATTCACGTCGACCTGTAAATCTTCCAACTAGACAGTGGGGACGTTCTCTAATTCCACTGAGAGACGTTGCACTCACGAAAGGAACACATCAACATTGTATGACGGTTTAGATTCGACTGCCCGAAAATAACTTTATCTATCTATCATTCCCACTCTAGTTTAGCCAATCAGGATAGACTACCTTCTTTTTCATTTATCTGACCTCAAAGGTCAAAATGAGGAATCAAAGTAGAAATACAATTCTATTAAAAGTAATAGTTTAGCAGAGTATTATTTTTTGAAAATTAATAGTCTGCTAAACTATTATTTAACAAAGAGATGTTATATGAAGAATCGTATTTACTAGCCATGCTGTTTTTCAAGAGCATTCATGGTTAGATTTTAAGTACGATTATTTACTAGTGGCCAGAAATCTTGTTACAAGGGAAGTACAGGGATTGGACAAAATAATTGGAACAGTTGCAAAATCCACTCCAATATTTCAAAGACCTCTTATATTAAGAACTTTAACTAAAACTTTGTAATTGCAGGTTATACCTATTCTCAATACGTTTATTTATCTAATTTACTTGGCTTATTTATTTTTAGAATTTAGTAAAATTTAAGCTAAATGCGTGACCACTCCGAGTTCGAAAAAGAGCAAATTGTTGGAGCTCGCATGGCAGGAGCCTCGATCACTAAGGTTGCTGAACTGTTTGGTTTTTCAAGAGCTGCCATATCAAAAACACTGATGCAATTTGAGAAACAGGGCAAGACCTCTAGCAACCGTAGCAATTCGGGCCGGACTTGCAAACTTACTGACAGGGACTGACGTGCATTGAAACGCAATGTGGCAAAAAATCATCGGACAAATGCGTCAAAAGTGACTGCTGAGTTGAATAACCCTCTGAATAGTTCAGTTTCTACTAAAACTGTTCACCGTGAACTCCATAAGGCTGCATATCATGGAAGAGCTGCTGTGAGGGAACCTCTTCTCTCCACTCGCAACATTCAAAAGAGGTTGAAGTGGGGCAGAGATCACAATGCCTGGTCTGCAGACCAATGGAAGCAAGTCATATTCTCAAACAAATCCAGTTTTTCTCTTATCCCAACTTCAGGGCGAGTTTATGTGTGAAGGCAGCCCAAAGAAGCTTACAACTCTGACTGCCTTCTTCCAACAGTGAAGCATGGAGGTGGATCAGTGATAGTTTGTGCCGCCATATCATGGAAATGTCTCAGTCCAATAGTTGCCCTGCATGGTTGAATCAACAGCAAAGATTACCTGAACATTTTGGGAGATCATGTTCACCCAATGGCCAAGACTTTATTCCCTGATGGTGACTGCATCTTCCAAGACGATAATGCTCCAATACATATCGTTCGAGTGGTTAAGAATTGGTATGAAGAGCATGAAAGTGAGCTAGAATACATGGAATGGCCTCCCCAATCTCAAGATATCAATATTATTGAACATTTGTGGCGCATTTTGGAGCAACAAGTTAGGAGCCTCTATCCTCCGCAGTCGTGTCGTAAAGAGCTGGAGAAGGGTTTAATGGAAGAATGACTGAAAATTCTTCTGGATGAAATCAGGAAACTGTATGATTCCATTCCTAGACGCATTAAAGCTGTCTGTAAGGCTAAAGGAGGACCAACTCCATATTAAATAAATTTTCTTTGAATTTAAGTGTTCCAATTATTTTGTCCAACTCCTATATTTTCCTCACTAGAATTGGATGATCCCATTCCGTTGTAATATCGCTTATCACTATAACAAACATATAATGGCATTAAATGATTGTTATATGCAATTCAATACCTTGCTACTACACTTTTACTAAATTTTGTTGAGTGTTGGTTGGTTTCTGTTGATATAGATTGCCTCGAGAATGTGATGCTTTTGTTTATTATTTTTGTGGTGTTGTCAACATTTATTTCCTAAATTGTGAAAGTGGACAGGTATATGTTTTTAAATGTTTTGCAATAGAACTTGTATCCGACAAGTAATGTTTTCTAATGACACGTGTATCACGCCATCAATTACTGCATATTAAGTCCATCTATTGATCAGTATATACTTTCCTATCGATACACCTGCAGATCTACTGCCTACTTTTTTATTTTATTTTTATTTTTTTATTTTTTTATTTTTTGTTTTGATTTATTTTTCTCCTCTACGTGATTAGGCTTTGTCTGGATAGGTTGGATATGCCATGAGATAAATTCCTGCCCGTATAACTCTCCTGATCATAGGAGCGCGCAAGTCAATTCACCTTTGTGTCTATAATAAATAAGAATGCGTTTAATCACCTCAAGTAATTCCCTGAGCGACCAGCAATATATGTTTGGCTCTTTTATTTCCACTGCTGATGTCCAGTTGTAACGCACAGAATCGTTGCGGCATTCGATAGTAAATAAATCACGAGGTTTATGGCCTTAACTTTCGATACGTTGAGGCAGAGGGGTATATTACAACAATTATCTTTCTATGGAATCTCCGGAAGAGTCCTCGCAAACATCTAGTCTTTCTCATCACCGAGATCCATGACTGTTGTAAATCTGAAGCCCATGATATCAACGCAGGCGTCCCACAATACTCACACGTCTGTCCTGCCGTCTTTCTATTTTATATCAATGATCTGCCTAAGAACATTCTCAGATACTTAGTAAATATATGTGCAGATGGTACCACGGTATACGAATGCACCTCCAAAAATCGAGATAACCAAAGATCGTCAGCTGATCTCTCACCCGACCTAGATTTATCATCCAAGTGTGAAACTGGTTTGTAAGTTTCAATAGCTCAAAAAAAACAAGCTAGTGATTTTTCATCATCACAGAGCTGATCCAGAATTCTCTGCAGTGATGATGGATGGTTGCATTCTCAAAGAGGCACTTTGCTTTGTGCCTCTATTAGGAGTCAGTTCCACTGAACACTAAAAATGGAACTCATATTTACCACCCATCGCTAAAGATGCAGGCAAAATAAACTTTTACACGGCTTTAAATGTGGTGAATTATTTTCCACCCTAGACCACATTTCCCACAGATGAAATGTCGCATGTCTATCGATATTTCCAAGGAGTTTTTTTTTTTCAGACGAGATATATTCGTTAGTTACGTCAATTCCTACATTTACAGTTAAGACCCGTCATTCCACATATACAACAAGAAACCACCTTCGTTCCATTCTTATACTTTTGGTTCTCTTCGGACAGCTTCATCCCAAAGAGTCGTCTTCTATTACCGTTATGGCTTTTTTAGGACCAGAAATGAAGACACAAAGAGAGGAATTGAGTTAAACAAATATATTAACACAAACAGTAATACAAACATATACAAACGACAGTGTTACAGCAAGAATGTTTGATCCGACTGTCAGAGCTGACTGCTGGAAACTTCCCTCTCTAAAAGGCAGTACCTGCTCCTACTTATAGCTGGGAGAATCCATGCGTACGTGGGTAAATTACCATAATAATTACCGATGTCGCAAGAGGAATAATGACATTTTTAACTGAAAATATATTTTAATAACTACTGACAATTTTTATATATATAAAATTTCACAAAATACAGGGCT